CGCTAATGGAAATTTGATTCAAAAAGTCCCAAAGGATCGTTTCGAAAGAGACAGAGATGGCTCTTAAGGCGAATTTACGCTCGTGCTCTTTGGCAGAACATAGGTGATCCACGGTGAATTTGAAAAATAAAAGCTGAAGAATACTCATAAGCACCCCAACTTCCGATTTGTTTCGCTAATACCCCAAAAGCGAGCTATTCGCGCGAGACTTTCGCGTTGGATAGGGTGCAGATAAAAATAGCGTAAGATCTAAATTCGCCTTTAAGCCGAAGGTTCGCGATCTTGATAGAATACGGAGAAAATGGCGCACGAGCGCGCTTAGACGTACCGGGCTCGAGGTAAATTTTCGGACGAAGGTTACACCGTCGGTACGCGGTATGCACCCTTGGGAAATTGAAAACCACTTTTAGAGAATGAGACTTCCCTGCCAACAAGCTGGTCTGCCGCAATCATCCATGTGAGACTTTTCTTCCATTGTGTCCGGGTGTGGCTGCAGGTCTTCCGCGCGACGTCGCTGAAAATGTCTTTCTCGCATTCTCTCGTTTCTCTTTTTATCGTTCTTTCTTTCGTCCTTTTTCCTTCTATTCTTTTTCTCTTTTGTCTTCGCCAGTTTCTCTGACATTTTCCTCGCTCTTTTGGTATTTTTTCTCTACGTTCGTTCTCTATCCCCCGGACAATGGATAATTTTTTTGCTCCCCCGCAGACGAGTTCGCGAACGGTCGAACAGCGGAATATCTTTTCTTCATCCGGCGTTCGAGAAACGTACGAGCTTTCCCATCGGTTGCCTTCGGATTGCCTGCTTTCTCTTAAACGATGCTCGTCTTTTCCTCGTATCTCGAACCAACCATCGTGGTCATCGTCGATCGTCCCTCGACTTTTACTCCATCGCGTCGATCTAACTCTCAGAACTCCTTTGTTTAGCAACGAATCTATTCGCGAGGACGAGATAGAAACGTTTCCAACCGCGAGATCACGTTGTCAGACGCGAACAGGTGCGAAAATCTTTCAAGGAACAGTGCCTCGAGTCGAGGGAAGATCACGAGGCGTACGCGAGTCTCGACGAGCGTTTCTAGCCAACGATCCATTCTCGTTCCGATCGTTTCATTCGAGATTGCACGAGCGCGAAGAAAAATCCGCGTAGATGGTCGCGAGGACGCGTGCAAAGGTGAACGAAGACAGAAAGATCCGAGAAACACACTCCCTTTCGTCCCTGGCCCACACACCTCCCAACAAACCCAATCCGATCTCAGACTTCCGGACATGATTATGGATGCGTATTCTTTGACTCTGATTTTTTCCTTTACGTTTCTATTGCTTTTACCTCTATATTAGTTTACTGTACTTTATTTTTTTTTTTTTTTTTTTTTTTTTTTTTTTTTTTTTTTTTTTTTTTTTTTTTTTTTTTTTTTTTTTTTTTTAGTTTTTTTTTATACTTTTCTAGGCTCGACAACTCTCAGTGTAGCGTTTTTGTGTGGGGCAGCAAAACAGCAGCGAGGGTTGATAGCCGGGGTTCGTGCAGCACAGCTTGTCAGCAGAGTGGTGTACGTGTCATTCGTAAAAGACATGTCACTTTTAACTACTACTTCTTATTTACAAGATCGTGATCACGCTCCATTTCGACGTGTTTGCCGGTGGAAATTTGGCCGAGAGGAAGCGCACGTCAGGGAGCATATAGGATCGTCGTGTTATTCATCATACCACAAACGTTCTGGACTAAATATACAGAATTGCGACATGTTAAACACAGTACGGTTAAAAGAATATAGATACACGCAATGATCGTATGGCCGCAAGAACAGTTGATAGAAATGGAGCGGTCACGTGTGGCTGCGGAAACATCTTGTACTTATTTACGACCTAGGCACCGAAACAGGTGATTGGTGTATTGCAACTAGTTCTTTGCACCTGGATAGCTGCGATAGGCTGCTAGAAAGAGAGAAATAGAACAGTGGTGTTTTGGTGATGTTAACAAGAATTCTGCCTCGTGTACTACTCACTACACGCTACGAGAACGGCTGAACATCATACAAGGAATAATGTAGAAAACTGGACGAACACAAAAGCGACAAACAATGGAGGAAAGAACGGGAGCGTACGATCGATGGGACCAGCGTGAAACGGAGCAAGAGAACAACAGGGATATTCGATTAAAATAAAATAAAAAACAGAGAAAAAGGAGTAAAAGTAAATGAAAGAAGGCACAGTCGAGAGTAGAAACGAGATCAAAGGGGGGGAGAGGGGGAATGAAGGAAAGAAAATAGACGGGACAGGTGGAGACGGGGCACGGAGAGGCTGCACCGTGTACAGGGTGAAATGGAGAACGAAAAGGGTTGAAAATGAAAAGTAAGATAGGAGCAACGGGGTTACAACGTGAGAGAAACTAATATAATATACATCTCGGCGATAACCGTGTCGAGTTTGGCGTCTGGTTCGCTCGTTTCCTTCCATTTTTCTTTCCATCTCGTCTTCCGCGATCTATACGATGGACAAATTGCTTCATCGATCGGCGCGTTTAATTAACGCGCGTTGTCGCGCTCGAGGATGACAATGGAACTGTTTGTCACGTTTCTCGGTACCCCGTAGCCTGGTTAATTCGCGCTCGACGACACGCTCGCCACGGTTATCGCGTAATTCGAGCACTGCGCAACTATTGGCCAATTTTACTTTGTGGTTCGGTAACCTGTCTCACGTGCGACAGTGCCATACACAGAGAGATAGATAGATAGAGAGAGATATGTATATATGTATATATATACGTATCGCTGTAATAATATGTATATATATATAACGACGAAACAGATGGATAGATAGATAGAGAGCTCGATACGTGTGTAATAGCGTATATATATATATATATAAGAGTACGTAAGAGGGACTACTGCGTTCAAGGGTGAAGCCCGACGTATATACTCGACGTAGATTGGCGAAAAGCAGCGCAGCAACGAAAGCTCCTTTTGACGCAAACCCAGGAAACTGAAAGAGGGTGATAGAGTACACGTGAAAGATCGAAGATAGAATAGATAGATAGATAGATAGATAGATAGATAGATAGATAGATAGAGAGAAAGAGAGAGAGAGAGAAGAGGAGGTGCGTGTGTGTGGGAAACGAGGAACAGAGATAGAGAGACAGACGAAGAAACGATACGTAGGGGTTGAAAAGAACGAGAGAACGTGGAAAGGGTTCGATGTGCGGTCAAGTAGGATATGCGTGCACTTCGAGTCTTTTGTTCTTGGGGAACGACGTAATTTCCGTCTTGTTCTTCGAGAGCTTCGTTCGAAGCATCTCGAATACGCATTTACCCGATTTCCCCCTTCCCATCGTCAGACGAATGGTACACGCGGTGTAACTAATCGTGGGAATATTCTATTTCTTTTTGTTTTCTCTCTTTGTCACTGACCAACGTTAAGTCGCTTGGAGGCTGAAAACTCGAAAGAATCGTTCCTTTGCGCAAATTTCGATCGTCCGCATGCAATCTGCTTCGGTACTCCCCGCCATAGGCGTGCCAATTAAAGCCACGAGACGTATATACACACGAAACGGCCAGACTGTCACCACCACCGCATCTTTCCGCGAAGCTCAGCCCAGGTTCAAACAGACAACAGCGCCGGCTGATAGACCAGTTTCCAGCGACGACGAGGAGAGACAAAAAAAAATAAGGGTTGAGAAAAAAAAAAAAGAATGAATAAATATAGACACGTGTACAAGACATCCGCACATGAAGCACACGCCACATGGAAATAGAGAGAGAGAAGAGTAGAGAGGCGAGAAGAGAGTCAGAGTGAAGAGACAGGTGAACTTTGGATGGGATCGATCCGTTGATGTTTTTCGGTCCACGGTGCATCCTTTTAGGTTGGACATCGGATCTACGCTCGATCTCTCCGACTTTTCGCGACAGCGATCATTTTCTCACTCAACCAATCGTATAATATGATAGTACACGAAAGTTTAGGCTCAAGCTCGTTGCAGATAGATCGGACTATATCGAACAATTGCGCGTAGTTTCTAATTGAAATGCGCAAGTCTTTGGCACAATTTAGGAGAAGTAATTAGAACCACCGGCGAATGATCGAAAGAACCGCTTCGCAAGGTTAGCGATTATTTAAATTACAACGAGGGCTTCTAAATAGCTTAACGCGAATACCCAAAATCGTCACACGACGCGATGCTAGTTACCCGAATCCGAACTTTACACCCAAAAGAGCCAACAGGGAAAAGAACGACCCAATAACGATTGTACGCCTTGGAACGTCAGACATCGCGATGGAACCGGTAACTCGACCAAGCCTCTCGCTAGAGAAATTCCTCTCAAAGATTCCCTTTCAAGTTGCCTCGTTAATGGGCCGAGCGAAAACGGAGACAGGATCGCGACGGTTTCACAGACGCCGCGGTTCCTAGGAGACGTTTCCGCGACCACGTCGATTCTTTATCCTCCAGTCAGCTCCGTATCTGTCGGGCTCATTCCTCTAACGACGACAGCTTTTGTCACGTGGTCATCGCGGCGGATCGCGCGGGAGGTGGTCCGGGGACTATAGATTCAAAGGGAGCGAGCAAGGAAGACTTATCGGATCTCAGGGTGCAAAGGTTCTCCAGCGGGGATCGAGGGAAAAGGAAAAGGGACGGAGCGTGTCGGGTGTATCGGTACGCTCTCCGCGATTCGAACGGCGAGACCAAGTGGAGGAGATAGATAGACGGAAAGGGGGTCGAGGTGGAGAAAAAAAAGTTAGATAAGAGACGTATCCTGGGGAGGATGATAAAACTGAACGGACTCGGTTCGTGGGGCAAGTAAGGGTGAGTAAAGAAAGAAAATGCTAGATAGTCAGAAGTGAAAGAAAGTTAGAGACGTATGACAGGAAAGAGATAGACTGATAGAGAAGAAGAGACAGAGAGATAGAGGCAGAGATAGAGATACAGAGAGAGAATGAGAGAAAGACAGAGTGTGAGAGAGAGAGAGAGAGAGAGAGAGAGAGAGAGAGAGAGAGAGAGAGAGAGAATGCATTACCGCAATGCTAGCCCGAGATTGTGCGGCCTTAATGTGGGCTTGAAGGTGCAGAGGGGGGTGGAAATAGCGGCAGGGGTCCCGATTGCATCGGCCCTTGACAGCATCCATGCAGACCGTCACAGAGCCGTCCTCGTTCGCCTGCACCGTCTCGAGGGGGTGCGCAAACCGGCACTCCATCTCGCCGCGTTTGCACGCCCCGCGTTGAAACTCGCGACATACCTACAGCAAGAGCGAACACGCATGGCATGGCACTCTATCTATGTGGCCAAAGGGGGCTGAGGGGCTTGGGGTGGGGCGCAAAACCGGGGGCAGCTCCAGGAACAGTTGGGTGAGGCGATAAACTGGTCTCTGTGTCTGTTCGTGTGTCTTGGCTGGTGAGTGTGTCGTGGGTGTGCATATGCGTTGGACGTGTGTGTCGGTTATATGTATTATACGTGCGTGTGGGAATGGTCGTTCTGCTTTTTTTTCTATTCTTTTTCTCACGAAGGTGCTTCTATCCTTCGAGGAGGTTAGGCAGGAGAAGGGATGGTCCTGGATTTCTTCACGAGTTTAGGCTACTGAGGCTACTGGGGAGGTTCGGATGCTGGGTAGGGCGAAGCAGAGATAAACGTTCGCTGGATGGATCAAGTTTTCGAGTCCAAGAAACATGTCTGATTTTGCACGTTTATTAAGGTCGCGTTGAAATGGTTCATGGCGGAGGGGATCCTGGATCGTTGATTCGTCGTTCAATATGCGTGTCGCGTATGAAAGAGATGTTTAGGTTAGGTAAGACGGGAAGATGAATGGTAGGCTTGAACAAACGTTGGTGCTGGAGTTTGATATTAATCGTGAGTACATAGTTCCGAGATAGGCCTCGCTGTCCTGCGGACCCAGGACATTATCAAATACCTTTCAACTCGTTACTTCCCGACGTTCGTGTATTCACGATTAATTAATCCCGAATCTTCAACTACTTTATCTATGCGAAATCAGTTGAATGCGATACTTTGGCAAAAATTTACTTTGCGGTACTAGCAAAATGAACAATTCCGTTAAGAAAGAATACCTCGATACGAATCAGCCTGAGAACAGATAGAAAGGTAGACAATAAAGACAAAGAGTTTATCCGACAATCTGACGCACTCAACTGATTCCTGGCTGACTCTAGCCAAACAGACGACGAGGGATCATTTGTCAAGCAATTCGAATCCGACGTGGGAATATGTACAGATGGAATCGAAGACAGACGAATAATGCAGAGAGTACAAGGAGAATCCAGAGAGGAATCTAGAGGACGTGTGTGAGGTGGTGGAAAGAGGCGAAGACGAAGACGAAAGTATCAGTGTGAGAAGAATGCAAGGCAGAGAAAGTAAAGTAGTGAAGAGAGAACGAGATATGTATAGTGATGGCAGAGGATCGAATGATGCGAAAGAGCGCCCCGTTGCTAGATTCGTACGGGTCTGTTGCTGGGAGCCCAAAAGAACAGCCCAGCTGACTTCCTTTCGGTTTCTCATCTGCTCTTTCTGGCCGTTGGTACTGTACCCCGATCCACTGACATATCCGTTCCTCGAAACTACGCGTGTATCGAACGTACATCTACGAATTTTTCAATTTCATCCGCAACGGGACTTACCAATATCCAATTCCAATCTCTTCTTCGATTATCATCCTAGACCAGGTCACGTCCAATTACCGATCTTCCTCGGCTAATCGTACGGAGTGCCGGAAACTGATCGCGCGTGATCGATGCATAAGTATGGCAGCGACTTGTCAGGGAACGGGGCATATCAACGCCCAGAAGGATGAGAAAAATAAAGATCGGGCACATCTAATCACTACTCTCTACGTTGGAGCTAAATACCGTGTTGAGATCTGCCAAATAGGCGTCGCTCGCTGGTTTCGGTGTACCCTCGCCCCGCCCAATAAGGTCAGAGGACACGGAAAATCGGACGGCTATATTTCGAGAAGGTGAGCGAAAACATGTAGGGCGTTTCGGGGTGGTTTCAGGGGTCGTGTGATGGTGGGGGTTCGGTGGTGCTGTGGTGGTGTAGTATGACGGATGCCTCCACGGATGCATCCCAGTTCTCAGTGTTCTATCAATCGGGTTAATTCGCACATGTGTTAGAGGATTCCTTGCGCATGCATCACCTACTATTTCCGGCCGTTTGTCTTTCGTTGCAATGCACGCCGTTTCGGAAAAATATATAGTCCGATGAACCTTCGGCGATATTTCACGGCGATTTATACGCCAGCCGTGCGAACGAGAAAGTGACAGTGACGGAGCAATGAAAACGACGAAAAAAATGGGAACAAAAATTGCAAATAAAACGAGAGACGAAGCACCGTTTTCCAGCTGCCGGTTGTTACCGTTGTAAACGACGTTTATGTTTGGCTCGTTGGCCAATGGCAACTCGTGACAGCTGGTCCCGTTTTGGGACCGTATTATGAAACGATTCAACAGTCTGAGATTGCTAACTTTCAGGTTTTCTTTCTTCGTATAGTCTCTATATTTTCTGCGAGATCACTGTGAAATTTTAAGAACGTATTCCATCTATCGAAGTGAAAATATCTCGCGTCCCGTCGACGCGTAACAAATTCGTAACGTTAATAGCAATAAACATAAAAGCCAACAAACGCGCGAAAATAAATTCTCGAAGATGGCGTAAGCCTGCAATCCTGGCAACGAAATACGAAAATTACGTTGGGTTGAAAAATTCTCGCGAATATAACATCTTTCTGAAACGCGAGATTCGCACGAACGAAATTATTATATACAAAGCGGTTTCTATAAGCAATTAATTTTTATTCTACCCCTTTCGCAACAGAAGCCTTCCATTTTTGCCACGCTTCCGACACACAGATACACATGTCGTTGCGGTAAGACAGCGCAGTCAATAATTTCTCCGACACTGTTTCCATTTACCAACTCAAAGCGAAATTGACACCTGCCATTTCGTTATTAGAATAGTTATCTACTATGACACGGGAACTAATTGCAAGCCGATACCCGCATTCTCATCGGTATCCGATATCAAACTACGATTTCAGCAAATGTAAATCATGCTTACATGCTGCACAACGTCCTCTAACATTTGCCTTAACAGATATACAAAGATATATATAAACTCTGTCGTAATATCGAATAAAAGAACATTCTCAAAATTTGACACCAAACGTCGTAAGCGTTCTCCGTCTCAGTTCGCAGTGGAGTAGCTACGCGATTACTCGGACGAATACGTTCTTAAAATCGACGATACAGGTAATCTCAGTGGTGAAAGAAAAACAAGCCAGCCATTTTCATTAGAGAAGAAAAAAAAAGAAAAAAGAAAAAGGAAACACCTCGATACACCGAACCTTTTTCGTTCGATTATACGATTATACAGTTTCAGTGACACGACAGCCAAGTATCGCGAAGAGAAACGATAGAGACGAGACCGCGGGAAATGGTGGTAACCAAAGCGTCGATCACGAGTTTCCTCTCGACTATATATTTTCCAAGGTGCGTCGCAAACTCACCTAACATTCCGGTAGAGCCATGCAAGCCGGTTACGCTTGTGTTTCATTCAGCCGTGGACGCAGAACGTCCAGCGTGGATTAATGCCCGCGGCCAGCGATCGCCGCTTGCGGGCCGCGCGTGTTAGGAGACAGCAAGCATGTGAGTGTTAGAGCATGCACCGCGAGACACAGTGCTCAAAGAGTTCGGGGCCTTTTCCTTCGTTCCTGGACGTCTAAACGCCGAACGAGCGAGCACCGTCGACAGCTCGCGCCGCAGAACCGGAAGCTGAGGATCTGGCTGCTGCGCGAGGTGCGGACAGGTGTGAAAAGGCTGCAAGCTCGTTGAGGAACGCACGCACGGGAGTCGAACGATTAACGAGACACACACACGTACACAGGCGATACACGATTCGTACACGATCAAAGATATCGAACATATAGATATACATGTATGTATGTAAATAGATAATACGGATACAGATATGTATGTACATACGAATATGCGGACAGATATACACAGAGAGACAAAGAAGTATTCGCACGAGAGAGTAGGAAAGAAGACAGGAGAGAAGAACGACAAAGAACAGACAGAGAAAGAGAGAGAGGGAGAGACAAAGACACGATGAATGGTCCCTTCTTTTTCCTTCTTCACTTACAACGTTCATCAGACACGTGTTTACTACGTGCATACGCAACCACCTCTAGCTAGGCGTGTTACTCTATTTTGTTACATCCTCGTGCGTCTCCTTGGACTCCTTTTCCTTCATCGAACTTCATCGAACTGCTTGGCGCCTCTGTTTCGAGAGGTACATACTAGAGGAATCGTTTCTCGAGGTGGTATGAGAGAACAGAGTTGACCGTAGGTTCCCGGACGAGCGGAGGAACCTCGTTTGGAACACCGTGGTCGCAAAATAGAGACGCGAGAGAGGGGGGAAGAAAGATTGACAGAGACTGAAAGAATGGCAAACAGGGTTGATACCGATAGAATATTAGCTGCCAGCGTGCTGTCTGCTCGTCGGGTTTCGATCAGGTTTCGAAGCACGTCCACGCTAGGAAAGTTGGACAGCTTTCTAGGGGTCCCGTGATCGCTGGTGTGTGTGCTCGTGTGTGATCCGGTTAGTCCATCGGCTATCGAATCGCGGAACGTTCTCTTCGTTTCCAGACGCTGAGGACTTCCGGTCTGCGTGTGGCGGACGCGACACCTTTCGCGCTCCGCGTCGTTCCGTTCCCGATTCGCGATTATGCGATGGACCACGGGTAACGTACACGCGTTACCCAGCTTTCGTAATCAGCAGAGACAAGAGAGACAGATGTTGACAGACACAGAGATAAACACGGCCGAAAAGGAAAGTAAAAGAGAGAAACGAAACGAAAAGAAAACGGAGAACTAAGGAAGAAGAAGAAGAAGTAGAAGAAGAAGAAGAAGAAGAAGTTAAGAGTTACATTACTGGCCGCTGAAGCGCACACACAAAATCGAACATAACGGCGTTGGAGATGAGAATGACTGCGTTTTACGAGTCATCACATGTGTGGATGTATCGTGTATACTTGTGTCCGTGACACGGGTGATCTGACAGTGTACGTGTGGAGCTACGTACTTGTTACAGTACGCGTCGCTTGTTCGTCTCGTGTCCACGTGTATCGTGGTGTTTTGGCGGGTAAATGCAATATAAAAATGTCAAATAACTCGCATGCGATCGTATACAATAATACGTAAAAGCACCTCCTCCTAGCTGTAAAAGTAT